CACATAAGCTCATAACTTAACCAAGGTGAGTTGACTAATCTACCCTTATTCGGCTAACTCTAACACAAATAAAGCATAAGACCAGTTGAGAAATTTTCCTTATACCAAGTTAAATACATAGAAATAATTGTTTAAGACACTGCTCACATGGTAGATTATGAGCACATACTCTACTATGCTAACAGTAACCTGGCATAATGGAGAATGAGCATAAGAGTTAACGTATGGGAGCTTTCCTGGAGACAATGTAATGAAAAGGTCATTTCACATTTGCCTAGGATCAGCTTAACAATCACTTGTACAATGTCCAAATTTCTAAATCATACTGACAGTTGGCATGACAAGCAAAAGGGTCCAACTGCATAACTTGTTTTTGTCAGCTCTCAATTGGGGAAGGAGAACAGTCCCTCAGCATGGCTCAAGTAATGAACTCCTAGTTGACACTGGAGGTTTGGGATCCTATGACTTCCAATAGACTCTTGTCCTGGACCCTTAAATGGACTGTAGGATAACTATAGTACCAGAGTGTTGGTGTTCTAACTGATAAACTTGGTATTGAAACTTACCACTACCTGGAAGTTTCAAGTCATGGGCCCCTTTTATTCTTGGAAGAACTTTTGTAATAAATACTAGATTCGTGATCACAAAATTCATGTATAAAGCCATAGTAATCTTTAACTCATCCCTGAAGATCCTTTTCCTTGCTTATCTGTGTCATTTCTTGTGAACTATTTCTGTAATGAGCAATTCAAAGCATGATATCTTATGCAGCCTCTCTTGACAAGATAAACCATTTGATTGGTGCCCTGATATTAACATTATGAAAAAATATAGGGCTAACATGGTTGTTTTTTATTTCACATGTAGGGTGTAACATGCAATGATAGCAAGACCTGTAAAATGTAATCTCCCATTTCGAATGTCATGCACAGAGATGCTTGAGTATGACATGTTCTGGATAGACATGGCTCTCGTAGAACGTCTTCAAATAGTTGACTAATTAAGTAGATATATACAAATTGCCCATTTGTCATTTCATTTGTTGGATATAAAACTAGGGTTGGGCAGAATTCAAGATCTGTGAGTATTGTACAGTGATACAAAGATCAGATCCAAAGAAAATGCAGAGCACCTTGGGTGTTCTCCATGAACATCTCAATATCGGATAAAAAAAAGTCAAAGGAGGTGCTCATCAGTTTGAATTTCAAAATTGATATTCTTAAGTTAATAATCTATTCTACTCAAATAAAACTTGGAAATTAATGGTGGTTTTCTTGTTTGTACTTTATGATATCTGGTGATTTTATTTTAAGCACTTTGATAATCAAAATATGTGCTTGTGACAAGGCTTTGTTTCTTGAACAATAAGAGCAAATTAATGACTTGTCTTTATGTGTTCATATGAGAAGACCATGTTCTTCATACTCTTGCTAATTGTATACCTGAAGTCTAAACAGATGTCAACTACTACCGAACAACAATCCCAACAAGAAAACCTGACAATCAGTTTTAAATGAATGAAAGTTAAGAAGTTTCAAGCCCTATTTAAATGCCAAATATCCCCCTCCTTTCTGAAAGATCTGCTTGAACATCTCTCCAAGTTTAAGGAATAATTATTTGTCTCCGGAAAATGTCAAACTTAAGATTTTATTTCAATTCAGACAACCTTTTCCCAACTATTGGAGGTTGGAATTGATTCCATTAGATTTCAAATTTGTCCTGTATTTTCAGAAAATACCATTTTCCTTCCCATGTTCAGTGTATCTTCCGACACTCTATCTTCGTTGCTGGACTTCAACTTAATTTTAGTTGGGGTAGTTAAAAGAATGTCTTAAATTTTTTTAGAAGTGTCTGGGGAAATGCCCCATCCAAGAAAGAATTACTCTATCGACTAAATAGAGCTCGCATTACCTTCAGTGAAAGGTGAAATGAAAACACAGTTTGTAATAAATTCAACACATCACATCACTTGTTTTTATTTTATTTTATTTGAAGCAGTGATGTGTTCACAATCCACTGGGGGTTGCTGAATTGTTCTGCAACAAGGGTATAGAGGAACATAGCCACAAGATCCTAGAGGCTTGCCATGGTATAGCATGCCACAAGTCTCAGTCTTGTTCTAACATGAGTTATGGAACATTTGTTGCTCAATTTTGACATTGTTGTTTTAATGCAACGGGGCAAAGAAGTATCACTTGAACAAAATTTCTCCACATACAATTGTACAAACAGATACAGAATCAAGTTTAGATTTACAGCCATGCAATAAAACAGCAATGTACATGAAACCCCGTGATGCCCTTGTTGAGGCACAGCAAAATGGCTGAGAGGTTGTAGGAAGAATCAGATACTCTAATACTTCAATTAGAGGGGGAAAGAGGGAAAATGAGTTTATTATATGTGGAAATTACAGTGTACAATTTCATTTGGATGGAGATACATCCCATGATCGGTCTCTTCTACGCTTCAAACCTCTATCTCTTGAGGAAGATGACTTCCTGCTAAGGCCCACCTGACGCATCATCCCTGCAAAATAGAATTACAGGAATGAATTCCGTGAAGGTGGAAGAACATTCTCAAGATAGATTGACATCACTGACCACGGTGTCTCTCTAGCTCTTGGTCCAACTCTTCTTTCCACTTCCTCTGCCTCTCTGAGCAGCTGCCACTGTGACAGATTATGTTCGGTTCAAGTAAGAAGGCAAAATGATTTAGACTAGAAAATGCAAGTTAATACAAAATGAATCTTTTACAAACCTTGGGCTGTTTGGCTCTAGCTGAGATTCCAGAAGAGTCCCTTCCCATTCATTAAGCTGAGATGGAGGAATTTCTCTCAAGACTTGATCAGTAGTGCTGCTCCTGTTGCTTGAGATGCACGTTCCACAACTACCAAGGCTGCCAGTTCTCTCAGCATCTGCCAGTGAAGACAGTGTTCCACTTGCTAACTTGCTCAGTGGTGTGGAAGATATCCTAGAACCTTCTCTATCATCTTTGTCATTCGCCACTATGTGCTTACATCCAGACTCCAAGTTGTAGAATTCTTCATATAGAGGTGTCTGCAACTTCTTCAGATCCAAAGCCTGACATCATACAGATGATGCATCATTCTTATTTATATGTTGCAGATAAATTAAGAAGCTCCTGATATTTTCAGTTATCAAATTGAAAGTCCAATACTATGTTCAACTCATCATTCATATAAAGATAAAGAAATGTCAGAGCTTAGTTAAAGAGGAACTCCCAACCATATCATCCAGACATGCTCTGATTTTCGATGCTGTTACTTCATCGTCGTCATCATCATCATCATCACCACCACCATGTAAAGGCATCTGCAAAGGAAATATGATACCATCCTCCCTTTTTGCATGTGCTTCATAACTGCTGACTGTACTATAATCTGATCCACAACAGTCTTCCAAGTTCAGTCCTCTTGGCTCAGAAGATTCTTTGGACTTGCATTTCCAATCCTTGAAGGACTCAGACATGGAGTAAAAAGTCTAAAGTAAATAGATAAATCTGCCACGAATTAGCATATAATGCTCCATATTCTTCCAAGCCATCATTAGATCTGAGAGGTACATAAAGCGTTACCTTGTAAAAGGAATCTTGCGTTAAGGAAGAATCAGTTCTCAACTTTTTTTCTGCCTTGAAACCATTGTCTGTACTGGTCTGACACATTTTTTCATCTTTATTTGCTTCTGAAGTTGGGCATCTCACGTTATGGATGTTGCATCCTGCCCTAAAACCTTGGTAGGTTGCCCTAGGTTTGGCCACTACACCAGGAGTTCTGCAAGAGGATGCCCATTTTGGTTAAGGAAATTGTCAAAATGTAATAACTGAGAGAAAGAACTAAGTGAATAGTAATAGCTTACAAGTTCTTTGAATCTACTGCTGATGAAAAAATCAAGGCTTGAGAGTGTTCCTGATGGTTGTCAGTTTATCAGTATGAGTTAGAGAAACAGATGGAATGGATAACCAAACACAATGGAAATAACCAAAAAATATTAACTAACCTTAGAAGGTGAGACATATATTGAATGAGAATCCCTGTATTCCTCTCTAATGAAGGAATGCTGCATTCAGTTACCAAAAATTAGTTATTCATAAAAATCTCAACTTTGCAAATATGTGAAGTTCAGTTATAACTCAAGGTGGGAAAAAAAAAGAAATCCAAAGTTTAGAATCACCTGCAGCAAGTCTGATGCAGACAGCCTCAACTCGGGTTCCCTGTCAACATATTTAGTCAGTACCATGTGACCAGGAAATGAGCACAAGACAAAAGCTGCAGCAGATAAAGTATGAAACCTTTTCCCTGAGAAAGATGAGAATAAAGAAAAAAGAAAACTAACTCATATATGGTGTAGGCTTGGATATGTGTCCTTCCTTTGGCAAAATGGAGTTGAAATTTAGAAGTATAGGTTGGTATTCAAAGCCAATAGCAGAGAAGACAGCGGTAGAAAGTAAATAAATTGTTCGAGTGCATATTACATTTGAACTTAATCTTTGGTCTTAGGGTTGATATATGCTGATCTACACTAGGAGCAATCCTCCAGGAAAAAAATGCTTTGGCAGAGAAAAGGGGGGAAAGGGGAAAATGAATCGTGTACTTCTGCAAACATTTCAAAAGAAAATCCTTTGCCTCCAAAGAGAGATGCTCAGGGATGGGTGGATGTGACTTTGTCATCCCAACATGGAAAAGGGCAGCAACCTGAAAGCAATTCTAATATGTTAATTTAAAAACAAAGGTAAAAATTGCCACAGCATGCTAGCACCAAAGGAAATGCAGTAAACTGAGAAAGCTAAGTATGATATTTATGCCTACCTCCTGGTACTGTTCACTCCAGGGAGGTTTTCCAGTGGCCATTTCTATGACAGTGCACCCGACACTCCATATATCAGCAGAGCTAAAAGAAATGTATATTTAGGAATAATCAGGAATAATCCCTTTCTCATCCATTAAGAAAAAGATGATTGTGAGGATATAAACTAGAAAGACATGGAGAAAGAAAGCATTATTTTCATAGGAAAAATAATGAAAAAAAGGATTCTGTGGGATGGGAACTCTCTGAACAATCACAAGGCAGTTTATCAAAGTGTGAAAACAAGTGTTAACTTTTATTCATCTGTTAAGGATAAATTATAGATTTGTATTAAAGAGCAGGAAGAAAATACAGGAGGCCTGTGTACACCAAGAACCCGTACACTGAATTTACAAGTATTAATAAAATAGATCACAGTGAGATATCTGATAACTAATGTAAGGAAAACTATACCATAAAGTTGCAACAAATTATTGAAAAAAACAGCATGCTGAGTGAAGAATTTGTAAATTCATAATCTCCAAATTAACTGAAGTGTTAATTAACAAGATTATGTGCTGTTTTGTAATGTGTCAAAAGACTTCTTAATGTCAAATTTCAGACTACCACACAATTTCTCCATTAACTCTCTCTGATGGTTTATTGACTCGACATTGTGCAATAGAAGATACTATTGCGAGAACATCACTTTGAGGCAGATTACAAAAATGGAATGCAAACCCAAATCACTTCATTGCTGTTTCCAGTGGCATAATTTGGTAATGAAAGAAAATACTACAATTCTATGTCAGATTTTTACTGATTAATGATGTCCTTAAAGTCCATAAGTGCACTGTTCAAAGCCATGATAGTGATTAACTTTAGCTTATAAGTATAAGAGGAAATTGCTCAGTAAATGCAAAGCAAGATATACACTTGACAAATTTTATGCATCCCCTACTAGGCAGTAGAGACCAGCTTGTCTTTTCTTTCAACTAAGCACAACAGTGAGGCTTATTCTGTTCAACTATTCATTATAACTTTGCCTAAAAGCAGGCCACCTTTGTGAAGTGAAAGGTTGGTGTGGGCAGACAAATTACTCCATTGGCATGATCAAACATTTTTAGAGAATCACTAATAGCAGTAGTTGAACAGCATACTAAGAGGTCTTAAAGGGCCTGGTAGGATGACGCAGTAGGTTATCTATTCTTAGTTGTTTTAGAGGAGATGATTATTCATCATTTTTCTTGAAAATAGATTTTTCTGGGAGCTTTTAATGGATGTGTGTAATGTACAGAAACTCTTTCTACAGAGGACCTTGTATACTTTTTTTTTGACTTTAATACAATTATACGTTACCTTTTTCAATATATATATATATATCTGATTCGACCTTGGTATCTTTTTGTATGGGAGGTCTGGACCTTCCATATGTATATAATTTACATACAATTTATTCCTTGCCTATCAAAACTATATACCTTCTTGGTCATGTTGATATGCCAGAAAAGGCTCAGAGTTTAAAATGGACAGGAACCAGGAAGATATGGCAAAACTCTCCCTCAGCAATGACAACCAAGAGATCAACCTCTCTTCTTTAATTGATCATCAGGATTATGTGTACAAAACCAAATGATCAGTTAAGGAAAATTTATAATCTGGTAATGAAGCTTAAACATGATTCTTATCCTATACATCTAACGAATAATTCTATGCACCATTAGGTAGGACTCGATAACAGGATAACTTGTATTGTGAAAATAGCATATGTGCCTACGTTCTTTTGTTCATTGAGAGCATGGATCAAACAAAAGCACTGTATTTGAAATAATGCAACTGTGCTAAAAATCCAAAACTTGCTGTGTTTAAGAAATTCAAAGTTGACAAATAACTATATCCATGTGTAGCATATAGAAGGTCAGAAGCAAAATTTGTCTCTTACAAGGTATGCCCTGTTTGGAGAATGACTTCTGGAGCCATCCAATATGGAGTGCCCTTCATTGACTTGGTGCTCAACATATTTGCCTATCATGGTCCATTAGTTGTTTAAGCATTTGATACTCTAGCATGGATTATAAAATTGCTTTAGAAGTAAAGTATATATAATAGTACAATATATTACCAGCTCAACAACTTTCTTGGATGCACCGAAGTCGGCAAGCTTGATGCAGCCTTTGTTATCAACAAGGATGTTTGCACCCTAACATTTGCAAATTTGAATGGCCTTTCTTGATTAGGTTGAGAAAATAACCAGGAGATATGGATAGGATAATAGAGATAAAGTTTACATGCCTTTATGTCCCTATGTATGATTCCGTTCCTATGGAGATATTCTAGCCCCTTCAACAGCTGCTTCGTATACATCCTTATGACCTTTTTCAAGTAAGAAAATATGCAAAAGCCAAAATGAGCTTGAACATTCTTTGTGAAATGCAGAGAACAAAAAAAAACTTACAGGCTCCGGAAATGAACCAAATTTCCCAAGCAATGAGGAAATTGAACCACCAGGGACAAATTCCAAGAAAATATTTAAGCTTTCTTCCTCTCTTGCGGTTCCTAAATACCTCTGCAAATAAAATTGGGAGAACAATAAAATGAAAAGAGTAATTGGAATGTTGGATAAGATAGTTTACCATGACACTTTCATCAGAAATAATGGTAGCACTTAGTGTCTAATTCGAGAGTGTAACAGGGAATACTTACAACTATATTGGGATGGGAGAGGTTCTTAAGAAGCTTAACTTCTTCCTCCAGCTCCAAAATATGAGCCTACACCAAGGACAACGAGAATAAAAATATTATCATTAGTTTCATCTAATTCCACTAGGCGTTTTATTTAATTTTATTGAGGGGGTGGGGGGTGGGGGTCAATCCTCTGGATGTGCTTGTAAGTTGTAACTCTGAAATTTACAGACAATATCTTCCTTATTGATTACATAGCGAAGATTAACAGAATAATGCAAATAAAATAAGATATGTAACAGACTAAGAAGTTTATCTAATCAAAGTAAGCAATAAAACTAGAAAAAGGAACATCGGAGATGATGAGTAGAATCCATTCCTTACTTGGGTTTTCTCCCTTGGAGTATTTCTTTTGATAATGGAGACCTACAATTAGCAGTACGGAGAAGATGAAAAACAGTGTTGGAAGGCAAAAATAGATAGAAGATGGCATCTGGCATTCAAGGAGTATACCTGTTTCACAGCGAGCAGCTCCCCAGAATCCAGATTCATCCCCATGTAAACTCGACCATAAGCGCCACACCCGATTAGTTCGCCCTTCCGCCATCGGATCGGAGGCTCATTCTCCATTGCTAACATTGGAGGCTTCTGCAATTTGGAGATGATCTCCTCCCTTGATTTCCTAAGGTAGGACCCGATCTTTTCAACAATCCCTCCTTCTCCACCTTCATCTTTGATGGAACTACTGCTGTTGCTAGTGCTGCGTCGGAGAACAAAAGAACGACGAACTGATCCGAAAATGTCCGACATCTTCTGTTAGTGTTCTTCAACTCTCACGGTTTCGGTGCATGGTGTTAATTAATTAAAAACGTATACTTCTTTTACTCGCCACTTCTCTGCCGCTTGGTTCTTCGGTTCATCCGTCCCAACTCCCAACCCCCAACAAAGAAACGTAACTTCTTTTTTTTCCCTCTCTTTCCACCCATTTAAAAATGTAATGTTATGTTCTTAACCCGTTGTTGATCTGTCGGGCCCTTGGTAAAATGAAACGAAGATACTAGGTTAACCCGAACCGAATCCAACCCGAAAAAATAACGACGGTCCGATCTAGGAAACGATCATGGCGCCACTGCCCTGGGCCATTTCACCCGGAGCAGGAGGACTGGAGGAGGTATCAGTAATTCCACCTTGCGCTGCAACAGGGGTTTTCAGAGGGTTTTGCGCCATTTTAAAGTGCACCTTCTCTACCTCGTAAGAACAAAGCAGAATAAAACACCATCACTGTTATCATCATCGTCAGCCTAGACTAAAGAGTAAAGAGATAAGGTTGATAATGTTCCTTCACGCTTCAATACTCCATTATTGCAGGCTATCTTCGTCGCCTTATCGACTTTCCTTTTTACACTTAAAAACTTTTCATTCATCTCCACTATCTTCTTCTCCTCCTTGTTCTTCATACAATGCAGTAGGAATCTCGTTTTGGCTTAAGAAATCATTAAAACATCGAATGAGAGCCAGGGCTTTTGGAACCGCTGCCGCGACTCTGGAAGATGGAAAGGGAAGTGATACCTTCTTCGCCGATGAAGGTGTCTCTTGGAGGTCACTCGGTGTCTCAGACCAGCTCTCTCGAGCTCTCTCTAATGTCGGCCTTGACAGACCCTCTCTGGTGCAGGTGCTGTAATTTAACTTCCCGTTTTTCGAATCGATACACCTTTAGGCCCCACTACCTAGGGTTAGTTTTTTTCGTCCTCTAAAAGAACGTTTACAGAAGTTAGTTCTTAGGGCACATATAATACGCGAAAATCATTTCTAACAAACAAGGCCAAATAAACAGCTGAAGCTTGTAACCCCAAAAGGGATACAATAAGTAACTTGGATTTTCCCTATTGATAAAAAAACCTTGGATTTTCCGTTAAATTCCATTATTGTTACTGGAAGTTGCTTAATGCATCTAATATTGGAAGTAAAATTATTCTTTAAACACTTCACCTGTTCTAAAAAAATTATTATTTAAACACTATGGAAATTTCAGTCCAAAATGCAATGGAATTCAGTGGATTATCTACTGTAGCATATAAGATTTATCTGTTGGCCTTTGCAGGCTGCTTGTATACCATCTATACTATCGGGAAATGATGTGGTAATGGCAGCAGAGACTGGTAGTGGTAAAACACATGGCTACCTGGTCCCTCTAATGGATAAGTTATCTGTTACATCTGATACTTCTGCAGCTACTGATGGCGACCATGGATTGACCCAGCCTCACAAACTTTCTCTCGTTCTTTGCCCTAACGTGATGTTATGTGAACAAGTGGTTCGAATGGCTAATTGCATACGTGATAATAATGGTCAACAACTTCTGAAAGTTGCAGCTGTCTGTGGGCAGCAGGTAGAGATCTTATTTCTTTATTCTTCTTATTATTTTTAACATTTACGATGCAGCATTTCACCCAGTTTGTTAGGTCTTCTGTTTTCTTTAGGTGGATTTTGTGTTTTCTTAATTGAGATTGGAAAGAATGACACACTGCTTATTTTGGAGATCCACTTTTGTGATAATACTGTTCTTACATTTAGAAGTTTTGGCTTCAGGGGTGGCCAGTTTCTCATCCAGATATTATTGTTTCAACACCAGCTGCTCTTCTGAATTATCTTTATGCTATTGACCCAGAAAGGCGCCGCCGTTCTGATTTCTTACGCAGTGTAAAATATGTGGTAATTTTGACTTGTTCTATCTTGCTTGCTGTAGCTTCCAGATAATTGCAAGCCTATTGCGTTTGATATTAATTTTATGAACTTATATCCTTATTCAATTGCAGGTGTTTGATGAAGCAGATATGCTGCTCTGTGGAAGTTTCCAGAATCAAGTTATTCGTCTTATAAACATGTTCCGCTTTGAAGAAAAGCAACTGTCACAGATGAAAGGTTCTCTGCTTGAGAGTCAAGTGGACCCTCTTAATTTTGTGCCAGAAGATGAGGAACTGCAATCCAACTTCATCCATGAAGAGGATGAACCTTTGAATGGTGTTGATGTTGAAGACCTTAAAGAGGAGATTGAAGCTGAGCCTACTAGGGGAAAGTACTGGAGGAGGGTTAGGAAAGTTTATGAGCGCAGTAAGCAGTACGTTTTTGTTGCAGCCACCCTTCCAGTAAATGGCAAGAAAACTGCAGGTGGAGTGTTGAAACGGATGTTTCCAGATGCCAAATGGGTCAATGGAAATTATCTCCATTGTCACAACCCCAGGTACCATGCCTTCTTCCTTTTTTCTTGATTATTGGTTCTTTGCTCCAATAAAAATATTTGGTAGCTTGATGCTGCTTAATGCTAATTTTAATATTCTTTATTTGATATAATTTTATGATACTTGAACTGAAATGCCCTCATTGTATAAAAACAATAGGTGGTCAATAAAAATATTATGCTCCCTTTGAGGATGAGATTTTGAGATGTGTTACAGGAAGTATTTTTACATGGGTGTCAGTTATAAAAGGAGTTTAAATGAGTGTCTGTCCTTTCTGTTTTGTCTGCAGACATAATGTACCGGGTTGTAGTTTGTTTTGTTTTTGCTTAGTACTTTGTCCTGCAGAGGGGGTGTGGAGCTGCTATCTTATTTTGCAAATAACACAATATGTCTACAAATATGTGAAAGTGTCTAGTTTTCCAGTGAAATTACACTCTAGTCACTTTATCTTTACATATACACAATTGATTCTTTATTTCCTTCTCCATGTTCCCTTCAACAATTCTTGACTCAATCTTAGCTGATCAAGAGGCAGTGTCAAGCTACTATTCATTTTGCAAATAACAGAATGAGTCAACATTTCTGTGAAAATGTCTAGTTTGCCAGTGAAAATAATTAACTTTGTTTACTTCATTTTTTCACGTGTTTAAATGATTTTTTATTTCCTTCCCCATGTTCCCCTTCAACTATTCTTAATTCAGTTGCTTAGCCAAGCTTCATAATGTGAAATTATTCTTACAAGGAAAGAGAGTAAACATGATAGTAACCCAAACTTATCTTTAATATAAGCCTAATCTGCTACTTTATTATTTGTTTTTCAAGTCTGGAGTAGTGGGCCCTTGTAGGACAAAGCCAGTGTTTTAAAAGCGCAAGGCGCAAGGTGAGGCACACACCTTTTTGAAGCAAGGTGCAAAAATACAAAAAAAAAGCTAAAAAATCATAAAAATGTCAGAAAATTCAAAAAAAAAATGCAAAAAATACTAAACATTATATTAATAAAAAAATAAACTTAAGTTTTAAAATAAATGTTTTAAAAAATCTATTATCTAAAATTAAAATACATAAACATACATAACATGTAAAGCGTATTCAAATGAAAATTTAAAAATAAAATCAAACATATAAAACGTTTTTTTTATCAGTGAATTGTCAGATTTATTAAATTAAAGCCAAATATAGTACAATTTAGGGAGAGGCACGAGATGGAAGAAACCATCAACCCTTTAGTTAAAGAACATAACAAAGGATAAAGAAAATTACAGAGAAGCCCAATACAAGGAAACCCGAGTAGCCCCTTGTTTAGCATGATAATCATCCAAGGCATTAGCCGATCTACCCAACCACTGAAATCTAATTGTCATGCCCCTCAATAGCCATTTGACTTTTTTTAAAATATCCTTAAAGTTCCAAGTGACAGTACCCGGGTCCGCCAACCATCCTACTACCACCTTGGAGTCTCCTTCAATTATTAAGTTTTGCACTCCAAGTTGATAAGCAATCTGTACCCCCTGTGCCGCAGCTAGGAGTTCAGCCCTCACAGAGTCTCCTATTCCCACCAGTTCCGCAAAAAAGGCAATGATGTTGTTGTTCTCACCTCTCAATACACCACCAATCCCAGACGGTCTTGGGTTACCCTGACTACTTCCGTCAAAGTTCAGCTAAACAAAACCCTCCATCAGCGGAGTCCAAGTTACTTGAACTCTAGGCTTCCTAGAGGAAGTGAGGGCAACTGCAGACCAATTCCTCATTAAATCCTCAAAGGAATAATCTTCAAAGAGCTTTAAGGATTTCAGCCACAAAATAGACTTTGTAACAATACACTCTTTGACCTCAAGAATGCTTCTTTCCTTATCCTGAAAAACTCTGGAATTTCTCTCTTCCCAAATAGTCCAAAAGAGAGCTGCTCTTATACACTTCAACATGATTCTCCCTCTTCTTGTGGTCCACACAAAGGTAGATGCGGAAAACAGCAAATTTACCTCAGTTGGCAAGTTCCAGCTTCACTCAAACAAATCAAATATCCAATTCCAAATGGCTGCAGCAAAAGGATAAGAAATAAGTGGTAACAATCCTCATTCTACGCTTTGCACAAAACACACCAATTAGGGGATAAACACAAGAAAGGTCTTTTCTTCTGCAAGTTATTTATCGTATTGATTTTACCATAGTAAACTTCCCGACAAAACACAACTATTTTTGGGGGAATAGGCCTAGACCAAACTTCCTTAACTGGGAAAGCCCGAGGAGAGGAACTGGGAGCAAAGGGAAACAAAGAAAGATGCACAAGTAAACGACCCTTTCGGAGTCAAAGTCCAAAGCCTCCTATCAGAAATGAGTGGGTCCAAGCAAACAGAATCAAGTAACAATAAGAGCTCGGAAACTGATAAGGATTCATCATCCCTCAACCGTCTACGGAAGCCAAGGTCCCAATTTGTCGACAAAGGTGTATACGAGGACAAAAGAAAGGAAGACACAGGTTCTTTTTTATAAAGGGAAATAGAGAAGAGAGAAGGGAACAAATCCTTAAGGGGCAAATTTCCCACCCAAGTGTCTTCCCAAAAAAGAACACGAGTCCCAGAGCAAGCATCATATCTTACAAAGCGTAGGAACTGTGGGAAAATGCCATGAATTGCCTTCCAAGGTGTTGCAAGAGTTGCCCATATGGATACCCCTGCATCCCAACCATTTTCGGAACAGCCATAGATACTTCCCAACAAAAAAAACCAACCCGAGGAGGAATAGGCCTGCTCCAAATTTCCTTAACTGGAAAGGACAACCCAAAGGGGATAGGAGGCTGAGTTAAGGTTTCAAAGAAAGAAGAACAAGAAAAGGTACCAGGGCTAGAAAGGGTCCAAAATCTGGTGTCTTCCTTAGCAGGGTTTAGGAAGACAATCTCAAGGGAGGCTAGCAAAGTTACTAAGCTATCCATGTCTGTATCCTTAATTGCCCTACGTAGGCCAAGGTTCCATCCAAAGTCAGAAGTGGAGGCTGAAGGGATCAAGAAAGAAGATATGGGTTCATTTTTCAAGTCTGATAGAGCATACAAGGAAGGAAACTGGTCCTTCAGAGGAGAATCCCCGACCCAAAGTTGTTCCTAGAATTTTATTCGGTTACCAGAGTTTAGACCATACCTGATCCAAGGGGAGAAAACTAGAAGCAGATTGTGAATGGATTTCC